CTCCTCCAGGGGGGGCCGGAGGCAGCTGCAGCATCTGCAGGCAAGGAGGCAGGGCTGGCTCCGCTGAGGCCGCTTGCTAATGAAACGGGGCACGAGCGGAAACAAGAGCAACTGTTGTTAAATTGCAGCCCCGGAGCAGCTTTGACACCGATTGAACCCAAACCTCCTCGGCAGGCTCTGAGTCCCCCGCCAGCGCAGACGGACAGATTTGCACCGTGTCCCATGGGCATGAACGGCCCATGAGCCTCTAGCCGAGTGGCCGGATGCTCTGCCCCGCTCGCTGCTGGCCGGGGCGCCAAGCAGAGCAGGCGATGCGCTGACGGGTCTGCCCTGCCCATAGCAGGCTCTGCCCCTGGGCTCTCATGGGGCTGTCCCCCCATACGGGTTTCCGCCTAGGGACTGTCATTGGACTGCCCTGCCGAAACCAGGATCTGCTTGCAAGCTCTCCCCTGTCTGCACTTCCCATACCGGGTGCTGCGCCAGGCTGTCTCTGGGCTGCCCTGCCCATACCAGGCTCTGCCCGTGGGCTCTCCCCAGGCTGTCCTGCCCATACTGGTTTCTGCCTATGGGCTCTCCCCAGGCCAGGCCCGGTCTTAGGACAAGGTGAGCAAGGCAGGTGCCTTGGGCTGGCACCTTCAGGGCCCTGCACTGCCCAGCGCCCACCCGCCCAGCTGCTCACTTGCTGGCCTGGCTGGGAGCCCTGCCCATACCAGGCTCTGCCCGTGGGCTCTCCCCAGGCTGTCCTGCCCATACTGGTTTCTGCCTATGGGCTCTCCCCAGGCCAGGCCCGGTCTTAGGACAAGGTGAGCAAGGCAGGTGCCTTGGGCTGGCACCTTCAGGGCCCTGCACTGCCCAGCGCCCACCCGCCCAGCTGCTCACTTGCTGGCCTGGCTGGGAGCCCTTAGGCCCTGCAAACTCTTTGGCCAGGCCTGCCCCAGGCTGCCCTGCCCATACTGGGCTCTGCCCAAGGGTTGTCACCAGGCTGCCATGCCCGTACCAGGCCCTACCCATGGACTGTCACTGGGCTGCCCTGCCTGTACCAGGCTCTGCCTTCAGTCTCTCCCTTTCTCTGATTATTTCATTGACTTTAGGTCACAGTCCTGGCCTCCCATGTCTGTCCCCCTTGCCTACCCAGGGTGTAGCCCACATCTCCTGTGCCCTAGTCTGGGTCACAGCACAGTGCTTCCTGCAGTGCAGGCAAAGCTTGAGATCGCCGGGTGCAGCGGGGGCAGCATAGCTGTAAGGCAGACCAGGGCTTGTCTGTAGCACCCGACATGCCCCCTTGGTTCAGTTGCCCCCTGTAGCCTGACAGGCCCTGCCTGCTGCACTCAGCCTAGGGCCCAGCTGGCATTGCTCCTGTGACGGACCGGGCCGTGTCTGGGCACAGCTGAGGGCGTCCACTCAGGGTGAATTGCTCAAATCCGGGGCTCCTTACAGCCCCCAGACTGGTGACCTCTCCAAACAGGTCACAAACCAGTCCCACAGAGCGCTTCAGCTGCCTGCCTGAAGCCGCACGAGCAAAACCCCTCCAACACCCCAGCAATATCCGTGCCCCAGACCTCATACACAGGTGGGGGGGTCCTAGCACCCAATCCCACCTACCCCGAACAAGTTCTGTCCGGTTCCAGGAAACCAGCCACAGATCTCTGGCCAATTTATCCTTTGGACCTTACCCACAAATCACGCTGGGCCAATCCTTTAGCATCTAACAACTAAAGGTTTATTAACACAAGAAAGAAAAGC